GCTGCTGTTGCGGTGGCTGTTGCTGCTGCTGATGAGGGAGATGATGGTGCGACGTGGTGTGAAGCGGCGTTACCCGCGTGCTCGAGATCACAGGACTTCCCCTGGAACTTGCCGAGTGGTTTCCGTTCGTTCTATTATTTTCCAGCGGCTCCTCCTCTGAAAAATCCAATCAATAATGCGTTTTCCTTAATTAACGTTCAGTTAATACCTTGCCGTACGAGTTCCTTCGCGATTATGATCGTAAAATCCGTTTTAATCATTCGGAGGAACACAGGGGAATTCTCTGTTCACCGTAACCGCAACTTTTATCCGATGAGTAGGAGATCGCTAATAGCAAATCAGCCTTTTATTTCAATTTACCTTCAAAGGAATAACAGCTATTTACGTTCGATCGAGCTGAAAATACTCGCAGCGAGCCTCACTCGTGATTAATAGACTTACCAAGGGATCAAACCGACTTATTCCCATTGTCTGGTAGAAAACAGGACAATGAATTTTTTTTAAATCCGAGGATTCACTCGTACCGTTACATCTGCACGAATACAGCGAATCCGATTATTTTCTCGCGAAAGCAGCCGATTCGATGTCGACTTTAACAATCGTAGAAGCGAAAATCCGACATGGACCGCGCATAAAGTTGAAAATCTAATTCTAATCTATGTCCCTCGGTGGGCAATATTTCAAATACCGCGAGAAAGCTAACAGATCCGAGGGATCGACCGTTAAGGAAAGAAGAGGGAAACCGTTTCCCGCGGAAGCCGCGCGTTAAAGACGAACATTTTACAATGGCAATTCCCGAACAATCGTCCGATCGCGAAAGTTTCATTCTGGAGTGCATTCACGGATGCAGCGCAATTCCTCGCGGTCCACGACGCGAACGACAAAGTTCCCCTTGCCCATTCTATTCTATACCCAAACCTGAATGAATGCGTTCTCGCCTAAGATTAGCGGATGCCTGACTGGAGTGGCGATGGGTTCGATGCGTGCGCCGCCGTGGAGACCGTACCAATGCGACCCGGCACGATCGAGTCGGTCAGATCATAAACAACTAATTGCAATGGAAATTATCAATCAGTATATAGATCTTTCAGGTGAGTACAAACAATTAATCAGTATTAACGAAAGAGTAGAGTCAATTAATGTAAGCATTAGATTTATATGTGTAGACTAATTTCATCTTTACGAACGACAGAGGTTTTGGTTAGGTAATTCGATCGTTCAACCAACGAAGACAAAACAACGAACTATCCGAAATCGTTGAATCTGCTGACATTTCTAATTGAATAGCTAGAATCTGAGAAATATATTATCTTGATCTACCGAACAATATTTCCGATGAATGATGCGTTCATTGAAGGAACCCAGAACCTTCGTCAATCAAAGTAACTTCCTTGCAATACACAAAATCTTCAATTTCCTCTGCTCTAAGCTACACTTAACAATAATCGTACCGTTTTTCTAACGTATCATTTGATGTGACTCTCGGTCACTTATGAGAATAAAAGGAATGATTAAAATGTTATTGTTTTTCTTTATAAGGCCCAAATTATAAAAGCCTAGAAAAACTGTTGGAAATGCAATATGAAATAATCAAATTTCAGTAAAAACTTCGAATGTGACTCAAAGTCGCATCGTGGAGATTAGGGTTAATAGAACAAGTTATTAGGGTGACTAAGAAATAGTTGCCTCGATCCAGATTGGATTCGGAGCAACGATACTCGAGGATCGGCAAGAAAACGTGGTGGGCTCGCCGGGCACGGAGAGCTGCGTTGATCGGCGGCGTTGCTCGAGAGCGGCCGAAACGCATCGCTACGCCGATCTTTCAGGATTCGCAATTTTCGCCACTCGGATCTCCGCGCCGTTCGTCGCAATGCTATAAATTAGCGCAGCACGTGTACGCGCATGCAACTAACTCATTCATGTACCAAGAGACTTGGCAAAGCCCTGTCGCATAGCTCGACGCTTCCTAAATCTATTCCGGGCTTAAAGACGGCGTGTACGTACCACGAGAATAAGAAACTAAGAAAGCACCGGCGATATACCTTGCACCCGGCGCACGCGTTGCATCGGTGGCTTCGACGAATAACGTTAAGACGTGTCACGCGACGAGATAACGCGACGCATTCGGAACACGTTTGTCCAGCGTCTAGCAGACAGGTAAACGCGACGCGTCGAGACCGAGGTTTTCTTTCGTTCGTTGTGCTTGAATTTTCCCATCGGCCGCGGCACGATAAATATTCATCGTCCGAGTAATTCATTGAATATTGTGCCGGCGATCAGATTATTTTCAACGTTGCCGAGTGATACGATTTACATAGTAAACGGCAAAAACATAGTCGAATCGTTTCGCACGATCGACGGGACGGTCGTCGCGTTCCTCGCGATGAAATCTAAACGCAATTTCTAGTTCATCGAGTCGAACGGGAACCGATGGCCGTCTTCCGGTGTCTTAATTTATTTGCGATACTTATTCACGGACGTGTCGTAATGTAAACGCCGCGTTCGGCAGGGATACGAAACATTTCGGACAACCGACGTCGATGCTAATGCAACTGTATCATTTAGCGCATAAGCTGCGCTTTAGCAAGTCAAACCGACAACACCGTTCGCCGGTGGCGCGTTAAAAGTGTAGAGATAATATGAAAAATGATCTCCTTATCGATTCAGTATATTTCTTTGAATATATTTTCGTGTGTTGGCTAAACGCTAGCCGAGCCGCGATGAATATTTAGACGTTATACCGTCGCAAATCAACCTTAATTTTCCTTTCAAATGATATGTCAATCAGTTCAACGATTCAACTGGAACTTCTTACACAAACATTCATACGTTTGCTGTGTTTTTTTCTTTCTTTGCTCGGCGCGCTGAATGAATAATAAATGTCCGGGGCATACTGTTCGCGCGTAGCGGTGAATGAAAATAAAGAAATACGATCGGGACAGTGTGAAATCATCCGAAAATGTTATTAAACGCTCCGTTCGCTTCGCCTAGATACCGAGATGACTGTCGGTGCAATTTGTAACTTGTCCGATCGGTTTTAAATTAAGATTTAGGCTCTTCCAACGGAGAATTTCGTGCGCCCCAGTTTAATAAATATTTCATCGAGTTTAACGGTGTTCCCGTGAGCGAACGTCGATAGGATCTTTGAGCAAACGAAGAAATTCCTATGCGACTCGAATTTACATGAATTAATTCCTCGTACATCTAATCACTGCAAAAAATGCTATCTTTCAGAAAAACGTAAAGTGATTTCTTAACGAACGCTCAATTAAAAGTAGCCACGAACACAGCGTTAATAGTATAATATTGCGTCTAGTGATTAATTCGATACCTATAAGCATTTTTTCAAACCGTTCCATTAATAAGACGATTTCCATCTCACCTAATTACTGTTTACCGTTTCGCTTAAAAATGATGATAATGTTTGCAAATACGTGGACACGTTACGGGACGATTTTCCGCGACGATACGAAACGAAAATAAAGAGTAAAAAAATGGAGGATTTGGCTCCGTTTTCGAGTTACGAACGATTAAAAATCTGTAACCGCGACAATGGGACAAGAGCAGCGCGCGTGAGGCAGGTCAGTTTCGAGCGCGGCCAGTGGCGTACCGTGCAAGGGACGGAGACGCGGAATTGACTCGCGCGCGGCTATTGGCGGATATTAATCGTTAACCGTGCGAGAAGCAAATTAAAACCGCGATTTCGTGATTCTCGATTTTCTGTTATTTTATTACGACATTGCCAGGAAGAATCACCCTTTCGGATGGCAACGAAAAATTGAAATTTCCAACTGAAACGTTGAACTTAGAACGTCGATTGAATTCGTGCGAATGTCAGAGGAATCATCGATAATAATATTACGTAAATGATATTACTCGGAAACGGTAAATCTAATATGATGTTAATACCGGAATACTCGGGGAATTACAGGAACGAGTTCCATCAGTGGCAAATGATAAAATAACGTAATGACCTACCTGTGGATTATGCGGTATACAAAGTTTCGTTTATTAGTCACATGGTTTGTCCCAAAGTTTCCGAACTGAAATTAAAACAACAATTTTTTATAAGATATCGATACTTTTCATTATCAATCATTCGAAACAGTTTCCTTCTGAAAAGACACACTGCTCGCAATAATTCTGTGAAATCGGAAAGCAGCTCTGACACTCCTTCAAGATGGCGGTCGAATCCTTTTCAGTGGCCGATTATTTGTCCGAAAGTCTCTTTCTTTCGAGTTTCTTTCGCGTGTATACACCACGGGAACAGTCGTGCCACGAAGAAGATTTAAATCAGGCGAACACGACAGATAATTTCCATTGAAATTATCGATACGACCGTGTTTTGCATTCGACTCTAAATCAAAGGTTTCGACTGTTGCTGTCCCCGGCATCGCGAAGGAGCATCAAAACTGTTTCCAGACTTTCGGTCACTATTACGAATAACGTATCCTTCCCAGAAGGAAACTGTTTTGAATAATTCACAATAAAAATCTCAATGTCTCACAAAAAGTTGATATTCGAATTTACATTCGGAAGCTTCTCAAGCAAATCCTCAACGACAGTGAATGTCACAGTACTGGACTGCACGCACGGATAAATATGAAAAAACAACTGAACGAATGCACCGACAAATGGAAAAACAATCCACGAACAGACTCGCCGATGTATAGCTCAAAAAATTCAACGATCGGAAACTTATTCTCGAATCTTTTCAGAAAGATGAGGCAGTTCGAAGATGCTTTACCATTTGTCGGTGATCGAAAGATTAAAAGCACGAAAATCAATTGAAACGCTTCTTGCATTCCGGTGAATTCTTCGAAAACTGGCCGATTTTTCAACGAGATCGCTATACGCTAAATATTCAAGTATCTCATTATTATTTCACAAGTATTAACCCTTAGCACTCCAGGTTGTTTTGTAATCTATCAGCAACTGCAACAAATTTTCATAGCATTCCCAGCGAAAATTAGAAATGCTATAACATTCCTTCGATCTTTTATTTTCCTTGTTATTACAAAATTTGGATGTGTGAAAAATCGAATAATTTTAGGGTAATTTCTTTATGATTCATCAAAATATTTAATATCATAACTGGTGCAATATTGGAGCCTACAGAGTTCAAAGGGTTAAACAAGCAATCGTTTCTAGTAAAA